GCTTTTTTCTTTTTGCTTATGTGGTGCTGAGGAATCGAACCCAGGGCCTCATGCATGCAAGGCAAGCGCTCTACCACTGAGCCACCTTCCCAGCCCATGTAGTAGTTCAGTATACCTGAATAATTACTTACATGGAATTTATCCTTTTGTTAGCCAAAATTTGATGGACATTTGGGTTGTTTCCACCTTTGACTATTATGCGTAATGTGGCTATGTACATTTTGTATGTGAACCTATGTTTTTACCTCTCGCCTATAATATCTAGAAGTGGAACTGCTAAGTCATAATGGTATTGATTTTTGCCTTTGTGAACAACTATTGCTAAAGCTGCAGTAGCAGCTGCACAATTTTTTACATTTTTCACAACCAAGGTAAAAGAGTTCTAAAAGTGTCTTTGTTTTATTATGGCTATAACTAGTAGATATTGAGGTATTTCATCATAGTGTGATTTATACTAATGATGTTGAGCACCTGTTAATTCTTGTCCCTATTTTTGTTTGTTTAAAAAAAAACTAGAAGGGGCTGGAAGGTAGCTCAGTGGTAGAGTGCTTGCCTTGCATTCATGAGGCCTTGGGTTTGATTCCTCAGCACCACATAAACAGAAAAAGCCAGAATTGGCACTGTGGCTTAAGTGGTAGAGCGCTAGCCTTGAGCTGAAGAGCTGAGGGATAGCACCCAGGCCAATTTCAAGCCCCAGGACTGAGAAAACAAAACAAAAAACCCTTGAGTGGAGGTGTCGTTCAATGGGGATGCAGAAATGGAAGAAGAGTGAACAAATGTAGTCATGCTAGTCAATAGACACCCATGGAAAAAGCAAATATTGTGGGCAGGGATGGGAGGGGGAAACAGGGATGATTAAAAGAAATCTGTTCATTACTTGGCTTATGAAACGGTAATCCTTCTATGCAACACCTTAATGGTAATAAAATTATATTAATATATTTTCAGAGCAGTCCATTGTAAGCTAATAAAGGAAAACTCTAGGTTAAACAAAATTAGTTTTTTTTCTGCTGGGTGCCAGTGGCTCTCTCCCAAAATCCTAGCTACTCTGGAGGCTGAGATCTGAGGGTTGTAATTTGAGGCCAGCTTAGAGAAGCCTGTGAATTTATCTCCAGTTAACCACTAAAAAGCCAGAAGGGCCAGCACACAGGCCCTGAGTTCAAGCCCCAGAACTAGTACTTCCCCAACCTCTGCTCCCCAAAATAGGCTCTTAAAAATAGTTTTGCGAGCACAGTGCTAATGACTCATTCCTGTATAATCCTAGCTATTCAGGAGGTTGAGATCTGAGGATTAGCATTCAAAGCCAGCTTAGACAAGGAAGTCTGTGAGCCTGATCTCTCATTAATCACTAAAAAGCCAGTAGTGGAGCCATGACTCAAGTTGTAGAGCACTAGCCTTAAGCAAAAAAAAAGTTCAGGGACAGCAGGCAGGCCTTCAACTCAAGCCCCAGGACTGGTACCCAGAAAAATGTTGTAAGTTGTTTTAGTAACAGGTTTTTAATTTTGGGGGTGAGGGATGGGGAGGATACTGGGATTTGAACTCAGGACTTCATGCTAGCTCACCTTAGTTCAGCTTGCTTGGGGGAGCCAGGGCTCTACCACTTCTGCCAAGCCTCTAGCCCTGCTTTTGCTGATTAGTCCCCCCCTCCAACTTTTTTATTGTTATTGTACTGAAGGATTATAGTTACTTAAGTTAGGTAAGGAGTGCATTTCTTTTTGGACAATGTCACCCCTTCCCTTATTCCCAGTTTTCCCCTCCTGTTTAGACCCACAAGTTCTATAGTTCATTTTAAACATAGTGTCTAGTGAGCACCACTGCTGGCATTTGTTCACCCTTTGTCCCTCTATTTCTGTGCCCCCCCCACAGATAAATGACCAAATAAGACAAAACAAAGGAAAAACCCTCTTATTTCCATTTTGCTGATTATTTTTTGAGATTGAGTCTCAAAGACTTCTCTACCGAGGGTGGCTTTGAACCTCTGGATCTCAGCTTCCTGGGTTGCTAGGACTGTGGGTATACCAGCACCCTGCTTCTGTAAGATTTTTATCTTTATAATTCTTTGCTTACCCTGGAACTTGAATTCAGGGCCTGGGTGCTGTCCCTGAGCTCTTTTTTTTTCTTCTTCTTCTTAAGGCTAGCACTCTATCATACTCCACTTCCATCTTTTTAGTGGTTAATTGGAGATGAGAGTTTCAAGATTTCCCTGCCTGGGCTGCTTTGAACTGTGATCCTCAGATCCTCCTGAGTAGCTAGGGTTACAGGCATGAGCCTCCAGTACCTGGTTTTGCTCTAAACTTTTAAAAAGGCAAATGAGCAGTGTGTTTATTTTGGGGAGAAACTAGAAAGGAGCTAGAAAAACATACCCACCCATTTGGGGTCAGCAAAAACAATCTCTGTTGCTAGCTAGGATGGGGAACTTCCAGCTCTCAAAGCTCTCAAAATACTTGGGACAGACACACATGCTACCTACAGATGTCAGCCTATATTGATCATTTTGTATGACCCTCCACTGATGTTATAAGTGTCCAAATGTCCCCTGGAAGAAAAAAGGTTCCCTACTCCTGGAGAATATCCATATAAGGAATGAAAAGCAAGCTGAGGCCAGTTTAGACAAGCCTTGCTTCAAGAGTTCTAAGATTTACGTAGCATATATATATATATATATATCACTACAGGGCTTGAACTGAAGGACTGAAGCCCAGGGTACTGTTCACTCTAAGCCGGCACTCTACCACTTAAGCCATAGCTCCACTTCGGGCTTTTTAGTAGTTAGAGATAAGATTCTCATGGATTTTTCTGCCCCAGCTGCTATCCTCAGATCTTAGCCTCCTAAGTAGCTAGGGTTACAATAGCTTTCTACCCAATACTTTGCTAAAGTTACCAAAGTCATTAGTAGAATGGGGAAGATCTCTTAGTCTTCTTTATTACTGGAGTGTAAATTACTAGTAAGATTGGAAGTCTAACTCTCCATATCATTTAATTTGTTCTGATAAGGATTCTTTATCATCAGTTAGGTACAATTTGTTTACTGCTTGAACTCAGAGCCTGGGCACTGTCCCTAAGCTCAAGGCTAGTACTCTACCACTTGAGCCACAGTGCCACTTCCAGCATTTTCTGTTTATGTGGTACCGAGGAATAATACTCAGGGCTTCATGCATGCTAGGCAAGCACTCTGCCACATTCTCCAGCCCTTAGGTACAGTTTTTTGTTTGTTTTTCGACAGCTATGTCTCTTGAACTCAGGGCCTGGTCACTGTCCCCGAGTTTCTTTTGCTCTAGGCTAGCACTACCACTTGAGCCACAGAACCATTTCAGGCTTTTGCTGTTTATATCATACTGAAGAATCCAAACCAGGGCTTCATGCATGCTAGGCAAACACTACGGCTAAGCCACATTCCCAGCCCCTTAGGTACAATTTTTAAGGAAATGCACCTTTCATAGTTGAGGGATGACTATTACTTGCAACTTGTCTTTCCTCCCCTCCCCCCCGCCCCATGGAATAGTTAGAAACACAGGCTTATCATTAGACAAACGTGGCATTTTGGTTAACTACATGTTTATATACGTGTTCATAATGGACCATACTCTGGAGTATGGTGAATGTTAGGCCGGTGTATTCATTCCTTGTTTTGTTTTTGTTTTTTTAATTAATTTACTTCATTGGTATTATGGAGGTATGCACAAAAGGATTACATTTATATGAGTCAGGTACTGAGTACATTTCCTTTTGTACAGTGTCTTCGGTTCCCTCATTCTCTTCCATTCCCTCTCTCCCATCTCCATTCATGAGTTGTATAGTTCACTTTTTTCAATGTCCATTGAGCTCCACTGTTGTACTTTTTCACTTGTTTTCCCTCAAGTTCTGTACCCTTCCTCCACCCCTTCCAAGATGTACACTTGAATATACCATACAAAAGGTAAAGAAGACAAAATCATCAAAACCTTCAAAAATAAGTCTCTTATTTCCATATCGTGGAGTTCCTTTCCACATGTATATTATTTTATATAAATATGAAGAGGCACTTAGACATTGCACCTTTGTGTATCTCTCCTAAGAATATCCTCTTTTGGTCTCATTGTGTGTGAGTATCTAAAATCTTGTATAACTTCTTATGTCTAAGTGCATTTTATATTCAATTTGCACACATCAGAAACAACATGTGCCATTTGTTTCTCTGAGCTTGGCTTACTTGACTTAACATGATTTGTTCTGGTTCCATCCATTTCCCAGCAAATGAAATTATTTTATTCTTTCCAATGTCTGTGTAAAATTCCATTGTGTATAGGTATCATATTTTTGGGGTCCACTCATCTGTTGTGGGGCATCTGGGCTGTTTCCATATTTTATCAGCCCTTTGGCTTTAAGTCAGTATCTCCTTTTGTAGCTCAGGCTGGCCTTAATCTTGGTTTGTAAACCAAGCTGGCCTAAAATTTGAGATCTTCCTGCCCCTGTATCCTGAGTGCTGGGCTTACACACTACCAGCTCTACTTAACTATTTTTGTCTGAAAGTTATTTTGGTCATTTGTTGAATTTACAGTGTATTCATTATATGTACACAGTGGAAAAAAAATCCAAAACAACTATTTTTAGGAGTTGTAGGGAAACTCAGTGATTTAAATTAGACAGTGCCATAATGTAAAAATTATAGATCAAGTTAAACTGACACAGAATTGTTTCATGAAGCTTTAATTGTATTATTTTTTTGATGTCAGTTGTGGGCCTGGGTGCTGTTCCTAAGCCTTCTTCCTTAAGGCTGGTCCTCTACCACTTGAGCCACAGCTCTGCTTCTAACCTTTTGGTAGCTAATTGGGGATAAGAGTCTCTCAGACTTTTCCCACCCATGTTGGCTTCAAACCATGATCCTCAGATCTCAGACTCCTAAGTACCTAGGATTGCAGGTGTGAGCCATAGGCACTTGGCAGAAGGCTTTAGATTTTTAATAACTACTTACTATAAACTTGTTTGTTCCTTGCTACATGCATATATTTCCTTTAAAATTTGAAGTTAGAAAGCAGTTCATATTTACTAGTGGTTCCAAGTAGAGTCTGATTTCAGATGTTCACTGTATTTAACACATGCTGGTGTAATCTCCTCATAGGTAGAATACAGAGAGATGGATGAAAGTTTGGCCAACCTCTCAGAAGATGAGTATTATTCAGAAGAAGAGAGAAATGCCAAAGCAGAGAAGGAAAAGAAGCTACCACCACCGCCTCCTCAAGCCCCACCTGAGGAAGAAAATGAAAGTGAACCTGAAGAGCCATCTGGTGAGTAGAGTGACCAACCATGACTTCTTTTATTCTAGAAATAAGAATAGGTGGATATTCTACTTCACAGTATTATGTTATTTATGTCTTCATCTTTGGTTTCTGCTTTGCTTTTGGGGCTCTTGCCTTGTGTGTCTATGTGTATGTATACATATTGGCAGTTTCTGTGTGTATTTCTGTACATACCTTGGAGGAGAGGAAAGGATGGTACTGTTCTGGAAGGACAGTGGCAATGTAATTTGGGTAGAAAGTAGGGAAAATAAATGATTAGAGAAAACATATAACCTTAAACTCAAAGAACTAGTTCTGTCAATGATGGTTCTGATGATAGCTTAAAGGAAACATGATTTGCAAATTAAAAATTATGCATTTGTAATATACTTTCCGATAAAACCTTTATGGTTTGGGCCAATTTTGAGAAGAGCACTTTTTTGGTGAATGATTGTAAATAAATATATGTTTTCTTTTTTTTCTTCTTTTTTTTTGGTCATGGGCTTGAACTCTGGGCCTCGGTATTCTTCCCTCAGCTTCTTCAGCTCAAGGCGAGTGCTCTACCACTTGAGCCACAGCACCACTTCTGATTTTCTGGTGGTTAATTAGAGATTAGAGTCTCATAGACTTTCCTGCCTGGGCTGGCTTTGAACCACGATCCTCAGATCTCAGCCTGCTTAGTAGCTAGGATTACAGGTGTGAGCCACCAGACCCAGCTTTCTTTCTCTCTCTCTGTTTTTTTTTTTTGGCCAGTCATGGGACCTGAACTCTGGGCCTGGGTGCTGTCCCTCAGCTCTTCAGCTCAAGGCTAGCGCTCTACCACTTGAGCCA